CCCTTCCAACCCCAGCTGGGATTCTGTTCTCCAGAGCAGCTGAGGAGGCTCCAAGGGCTGCACTCAGGGTTGGGATTTGGAGCTGCTTTTGACCGTGAATCATCTCCTTTTGTCCCTCAGGTGACGGAGATCGGCAAGGACGTCATCGGGCTGCGCATCAGCCCTCTGCAGTTCCGCTAGGAATTCCTGCCTGGGAGGGCAGATTCCACTCCCCCATCCCCACCTGTAGCCTCATCTCTCCCCCACAGCCTTGCCTGTGCTGTCCCACTTGATCTCCCCCCCCAGGAATGCTGTAGTGAGACTCTGCTTCCAAGTAGTAGCAGCTTTTCCTTGTTTCCAGACCGGCTGATGTGACGTTTTTCTTGGACCGTTGTCCTGTGGCAAATCTTTTCCAGAGGGGAAAGGGCGGCTCTGCCGAGCCCTGGTTACCACAGAGCACGTTGGAAACTGCTCCAGAGGCAGCAGCTGCCTCTGACACCCTTTAGGTCCTGAAAGAATTGCTTGGAAGAGCCAGGAATGGCTCTGGGAATGTGGCGCTGTCGGGAACCGGGACGGTGCAAAGCCCATCCCAACTCCAGGGCAGTTCTCCCCCCTTGGAAGTGGCACTGGCTCAACCTTTGTGGTCGTGGTGACTCTTTGTTTTGTTGCCCTGGTAACATTTCTCAAACTAATCAGCTTCACTCATGAATAAAGTAATTAAACCACCTTGATCTTCCAGTTCTGTAGCTCAGTTGGTTTTAGCGAGATGCAGGAGGTGACACTGAATTTCCTCTTCCACCTTTCCCCCCCCCTCCTTGGAGGGTTGAGAAGTTTCCAGAAGGTGGGGCTGGAGCAGCAGGAGAAGGGGCTGGAGAACTCCTGAGGGAGCTGGGGGGGCTCATCCTGGAGAAAAGGAGGCTCAGGGGGGACCTTCTGGCTCTGGAATTCCCTGACAGGAGGGGGGAGCCAGGGGGGGTCAGGCTCTGCTCCCAGGGAACAAGGGACAGGAGGAGGGGGAACGGCCCCAAGCTGTGCCAGGGGAGGAGGAATTTCCTCCTGGAAAGGGTGTTCAGGCCTTGGCAGGGGCTGCCCAGGGAGGTGGGGGAGTCCCCAGCCCTGGAGGTGTCCAGGGAAGGACTGGATGTGGCACTGAGTGCTCTGGGCTGGGGACAAGGTGGGGATGGATCAAAGGTTGGACTTGATGACCTTGGAAGTCTTTTCCAACCTCAGGGATTCTGGGATCCTGCTCCCTCTGGGGCTGCCTTCCTGGTGCTGAAACAAAACCTTGTACTCAGATATTAAACCTTTTATTTTATCCATAAAAACGAAGGAAAGAAGGAGGGAAGGAAGGAAAGGGGATGTCTTGGTTTTGTGGCTTCCAGTCGTGCCTGGGAATGTTCACAGTGGAGGGGGAGATGTGGCCCCCCCAGAACCCCCCTACGGGCCAGGGGCCTTCACCACCAGGCTGTTGTGACAGGCCACGGCGATGCCCCCGATGAGGTTCAGGAACTCCTGGAAGTCCAGCTGCCCGTCGCTGTTCAGGTCCAGCTTCTTCATCATCCTGTCCACGACCCCCGGATCCTTCTGGTTCTGCAAGAGAGCTGGGAATGGAGACCCCTGCCACGAGGCTGGACCCCCCCCAGGCGTGGAACCCGGTGAGCTCATGGAATCCTGGGATGGGTTGGGTTGGGAGGGACCTTAAAGCTCAGCAGGTTCCACCACGGCGGGGACACCTCCCCCAGACCAGATCCCTCCAAATCTTATCCCACCTTGGGCGATTCCAGGGGGACAGGGACACCCCCAGCTCCTCGGGATGAGCTGGATCCGCTCCCCCCCGAGCAGGGCTGCTCACCTTTGTGAAGGCAGCCAGCTCGGTGTTCATGAAGGCCAGGAATTCCCGCTTGGACAGGGTGCAGTTGTCCCCCTCCCGGCCGGCGTAGCGCTGGAACACGGCCAGCAGGGACTCGATGCAACGCTCCGTCTCCGTGGGCTGCGGGAACCAGGGAAGGGTTGGGAGC